AAAAAAAAAAATCTCCACACCCAACATGGGGCTTGAACACATGACTCCGAGATCAAGAGTCACATGCTCTATCAACTGAGCCAGCCAGGTGCCCCAAGAGTACATCTTGTTTTGTGAAACTGAAAATTTATATGCATGTGGCGCCTGGGTGGCTCAGTCAGTTAAGCGTCCGACTTCAGCTCAGGTCATGATCTCGTCGTTGGTGGGTTCGAGCCCCATGTCAGGCTGTGTGCTGACAGCTCAGAGCCTAGAGCCTGCTTCGGATTCTGTGTCTCCCTCTCTCTCTCTGCCCCTCCCCTGCTCACCCTCTCTGTCTCTCTCTCTCTCAAAAATAAATATTTAAAATTTTTTAAAAATAAAGTTTACATGCATGCGTGCACACGCACATGCATAACGCACACACGCATTATACACACATACATAATGCACATTCATGACACATACATGCGTATACACGTGCATACACACATAAATACGTGTGTGTACGGGTGAAAAAAGGCTGCTGAACAATATATATAACGTGAACCGTTTGTGCATGTGTTTTAAGGAAAATGTAACTATGCTTTGAGTGCATCAAAGATCTGAAAAGGTACACAAGAAACCGTTCTAACAGCTGCCTCCTGCGACAGAATGAGGAAATTGATGGGGGTGTAGAGACATTCTCTCTACACTTTACATTCATGGTTTGCTTCTCCTTCTGTGAGCATATTTAGTTTTATGAGACGTAGTCCTTTTATATTTAGTGTGGTTTCTGATATATTTGGCTTTGGATCTACCATTTCACTAGCTGACTTCTATTTCTTTTTCTTTCCTGTTCCGCGTTCTTTCCCCTCTCATTTCTTGTCTTCTTTTACACCGATCTGTGTTTTGAAACTCACGCCCTCTTAGCTGACTCATACTCTCTGCTAGTCTTGTAGTGCCTGCTGTAAAGATGATAACATGCATCCTTGACTTATCACAGTCTAGATAAGTCAGTACCTTTACCTTTTATTAGATAATAAAAGAACATTAAAGTGTTTAATTACATCCCCCCAACGTAGGTGCTCTGATTTTAATTCCCTGAAAATGCCTTTACTTCACCCTTATTCCTAGAGGATATGTTCGCTGTGTACAGAATTCTAGCTTGGTGGTTATTTTCTTTCAGCATTACGAAAATACTGTCTTCTGGCTTCTGTCCTTTCTGTGAGCCTTGCCATTCCTTTAATGGTAATCTGTCATGGGCGCCTGGGTGGCTCAGTCGGTTAAGCATCTGACTTTGGCTCAGGTCATGATCTCGCGGTTCGTAGGTTCGAGCCCCGCGTCGGGTTCTGTGCTGACAGCTCAGAGCCTGGAGCCTGCTTCAGATTCTGCGTCTCCCTCTCTCTCTGCCCCTCCCCTGTTCACACTCTGTCTCTGTCTCAAAACTAAATATACATTTAAAAAATATATAATTTATTTAAAAATAAAAAAAAAAGGGGGTGCCTGGGTGGCTCAGTCAGTTGAGCGTCCAACTTCGGTTCAGGTCGTGATCTCACAGCTCTTGAGTTCAGGCCCCACGTTGGGCTCTGTGCTGACAGCTCGGAGACTGGAGCCTGTTTCAGATTCTGTGTCTCTGTCTCTCTCTGCCCCTCCCCTGCTCGCACTGTCTCTCTCCCTCTTTCTCAAAAATAAATAAACATTAAAAAAGAATAAAGGTAAACTGTTGTCCTCCTTTGCTCACTTTTACGACCTCTGTGTGTTTGGTTTCCAGTAGACTTACTATGGTGTGCCTCGTTGTGGCTTTTTCTTGATTTATCCTACATGGTGTTTATAGAGCTCTTGAATTTGTGGTTTGATCTGTTGTTCGTCTTAGAAGATTTTCAGTTAGTTATCTAAGTATTGCTTCTGCCTCTCTCTCTCTCTCTCTCTGTCTCTCTCTCTCTCTCTCTCTCCCCTTTGCTTCTGGGTCTCTATTTCCACATACATAGCCTCTTTGTCTCTTACATTCCTTTCTGTAATCTCCACCCTTGCGGTGTGCTTCATTCTGGATGTTTCCTTCTGTTCTTTCACTAAACGAATTCTCTCTTCAGCTGGGTCCAATCTGCGGTGAAATCCATCCATTCAGTTCCTAATTTCAGCTGCTATATTTCTCACTTCTAATATTTCCATTTGGTTTCAAACCTCGTCTTCTATTGCCTTGACTACATTCAGCAGACTTATCTTGAGGTCTGTATCTGGTAACTCCAGCTTCTAGAGCCTCTATGGGTCTCTTTTTATTGTCTGTTTCTCTTGGGTTTTGATCATATTGTCATGCACCCAATTCTTCTAAAAATCAAGGTGTTTAACTTTTTTCTTTAAAAATCTATTTTTGGGATGCCTGGGTGGCTCAGTCGGTGGAGTGTCTGACTTCGGCTCAGGTCATGATCTCAGTCTATGAGTTCGAGCCCCGCATCGGGCTTTGTGCTGACAGCTCGGAGCCTGGAGCCTGCTTCCGATTCTGTGTCTCCCTCCTCTCTCTGCCCCTGCCCCATTTTCACTGTTTCTCTCTCTCTCTCTCTCTCAAAAATAAATAAACAGTAAAAAAAAATTTTTAAATCTATCTTTAACAGGCTTTACTGAGCCTGGACGTGCAGTCTACCACACGTTTCAAATGGATAGTCTCGACATACGTGTATATACGTGTGAAACCATCGCCACAATCAGGATAGTGCCTCTGTCACCCAGGCTCCTTTTCTCCTGCCTGTCCCCTCCTCCCTGCCAGACAGCCCGTGAGTTGCTCTCTGTCACCACAGGTTAGTGGAGCTATCACTTTCTATGATTTTATATAAATGGGCTCCTCTGGTATATGCTCAGTTTTTGGTCTGGGTTTTCTCACCGAGTATAATCATGTCAAGATTCATCCGTGTTATCGCATGTATCAACAGTTGTTTCCTCTTTATGGCTGAATAGTGTTCCATTGTACGGAGGTACCCAGCCCATATTTTGTGTGTGTTCACCTGTTAGCGGACGTTGGGGTCGTTTTCAGTATTTGGCCGTTACAAGCAGAGCTGTTATGAACATCCACGTACAAACGTCTGTACGGACGTATCCTTTCATTCCCCTTGGGTAGATCCCTAGGCGTGAATTGGCTGAATCGTAACAGTAGAACTACGTTGAACGTTTTCGGAGCCGTGGGGAGCAGTGGTCATACCATTTTACGATTCTACCGGCAACGTGTGAGAGTTCTGGTTCCTTTGCAAATTCGTCAATACTTCCATGGCCGGTCTTTTCCATCTGAGCCATTCTGACAGATGTGCAATGATATCGTACGGTTTCCGCTTGTAGTCCCCTACATCTGATGATGGCGGAGATATTTTTGCGGCCCTGTTTGTCCTCCCTGTATCTTTTTGGGGGTCTTTTCAAAGTCAGTCCATTTAAAGAATTGGGTTGTTTGTTTTATCATTGAGTTGTTAAAGTTCTTTACACGTTCTGAATAGAGGTCCCATATCAAATACATGCTTGGCAAATATTTTCTGTCTGAGGCTTGTCTTCCTTCTCCAGAGAGCAAAGTTCTTTATCGTAATGAAGTCCAGCGTTCTATGGCTTGTGCTTCTGGTGTCGTATCTAAGAAATCTTTGCCTAACCCAAGGTCACAAGGGGTCTTCCCCAGTGTTTGATAGTTTTAGGTTTTACATTTAAGTCTATGATCCGTCGTGAATTAACTTTTGTGTATGATGCGAAGGGCAGATGAAACTTCTAATCCGTTTTCTTCCTTTGCACGTGGACGCGCAACGTTCCGTGACCATTGGCTGAAGACACGATCCTTCCTCCCCTGAAATGTCTTTGTGCCTTTGCCAAAAATCAATTGGCCATGCGCGTGCGGGTCTATTTCTGTACTCTCTGTTCTATCCCATTGATCTATCTTGACGCCAACAGCACACGGCCTTAACTAGTGTACTTTTACAATAAGTCTTGAAATCAGGTAATGTAAGTCTGCCCGCTTTCTTCTCTTGTCAAGTTGTTTCTTCTAAGCCTGCTGGGGTTTTGACTGGGATTTCATTGGTGGTGGGAGTGCTGTGGTGGTCCTTCTCCTCCTCCTCCTCCCCCTTCTTTCTCCTCCTCCTCCTCCTCCTCCTCCTCCTCCTCCTTCATTCTGGAAAATGAATATAAAAAAATTGTAGAAATAACTCGAGGTCAAGGATGATGCCGTCTTCTTCCAGACACTCTTGGCTTGTGGCTGGGCCCCCAGCAATCTCAGATCAGTGAGAGTGATCGAGACTATGTAAGACAGATTCAGCTCCTGTAGGGGCTGCTCTAGTTCCGGCCCACCCTTTCTACCAGCGTGTAATTCCTCAGAATTCCAACCCGAAGGGTGGAGTTTCCATCAGCCCCCCACCCCCCACCGCCGCCCAACTCGGCAGACCCCAAACTCTGACTTGTCCCCCCGCTCTGCAAGGTGACCAGAAGCTCTGCTCAAGCCTCCTTGCTGCTGACTCTGGAATCAGCAGGTGCCCCTGTGGGGGAACCCTGGTCTCAGCAGCGACCTCAACAGTCTCCTGCCCTTCTTCTCTCAGATCTTGGCGTTGTAATTCTTCACGCTTTGTTAGATTTCCACCACCTTCGCACAAGGTTTTGTACTTCCACATCTCTCCCGGTCGTTCTCAGAGGCAGGGCTGATATGCTTCGCCTACTACACCATTACCCGGAGAGGAAGGCTTTTTTACGAAAAACGTGTGCAGTCTGGAGCCTCAAAACGTGAACTGTTCATTGTCTTGATGTCCATTGGTAACTTTCTTCAAGAGCCGCGGTTTACAAGACAAAACCTGGGCTGAAGCTCCTTGCCGCCTGACCTCATGGCTAGCCAGCGGGACAGAGAGAACCCGCCTTCTTTTTTCTGGCCTGTTGGCCTGCTGAGGACCTGCCCTCCCTGAACAAAACCCCTCCCTGGCCCGGCCTTCTCTGTGATCGCGAAGTTCCTCTCTTCTCAGCTTCTCCTTCCCTCTCTTCTGTGAGTCTCAGAAGCCCCCAAGAAGTACAACCCGGGGGCAGATCCCAATCTTAACTCCTGATGAGATCCTACGCTGCCCCTACCTCCCGGCTCAGGGCCCCGGCCATGGGGTCCTACGGGTGCCTGGTGGCTGAGCTGTTATCTCCTCCTCTGTGCCCTGCTTCCTGTTGTCCCCCTCCCCCCAGGCTGGGCCTGTTTCCACATCGAAAGCAGAGCCTGGAGCTGGGACTCGCGTCTGGAGGGGCTGAGCCTTTGCTAGTTCGCGGGCCGTTCACTCACAGGTGTCCTCCTTGAGGACGAAGGCCCTGCCTGAGCTCAGTGCCAACACATAGCAAGCGCTCCATAAAAATGTGCTCCGTGGATGGATGGACGATGGGTGGAGGATGGAGGGAGACAGAGAAGGAGGGATGAGATGACCTTGGCCCCGCAGCTCCTCAGGTGTTCTTAGAGGTCATCAGGGGTTCCGGGGAGGTGAAGCGGCTTCATTTGGGGGTATTTAAATGTGAGCCCCTATACGGTTTCCTTGCAAAGGAAACACTTCCGTGGCTAAAAATAGTCCTGCAGCCTCTCTGGTCTTGTGCAAGTTCTGCAACTCACAGATGAAGAAAATGAGGACCAGAGAGGGGAGGGGCCTTGCCCGAGGTCACGCAGCTGGCTGACGGCTCCGCAGTTTCTGGCTTCCAGACCAGGGGTGTCTCTCTGGACGGCTCTGCCTTCCGCATTTGGGGCGAGGTTCCCATGTCCAACCCTCCTCTTCCAGGGGAAGGACAAGTTTCTGGGCGTCCTGAACAAGTACATGGAGATCCACGGCACGGTGTACTATGAGAGCCAGCGGCCCCCCGAGGTCCCGGCCTTCGTGAAGAACCACGGTCTCTTGCCACAGCCTGAGTTCCAGCAGCTGCTGCGCAAGGCCAAGGTGAGCCCCGCCCCCCGCCGTCCTCACCCCCTCGGTACCGGTGCAGCCCGGTGGACTTCTGGGCCAGGCCTTGCTGTTAGAGCCGCTGAAGGCATGGCAGGCTGGGGGCATGCCCTGGCTGGAGTTCCGCGGACTGACTGCTTCTGGAAGTTCTGCACCGTATTCCTGGAGCAGCAGCGGGTGCTGGGCCCTGAGGGATCAGAGTCAGCTGAGGCTGGAGGGCCTCCAGCGAGCATTCGGGTCCTCTCCTGCTCTAACCAGAGCTCTTCCCGCAGGCCCCCTGGATACGTGTGTCTGTGGGTGGGCTGGGCGAGGAGGAGCGGCTTTGTGCAGTCAGCAACCTGAACAACCTTACGCTGCAGCCCGGGGTTCAGAATCATTTATTGATCGCCTTCCAGCGGGGCCAGCCCCGTGAGCACTCCTGGCGCAAGTTAGGTGCTGAGTGAATCGTCTTTAGGATGCGTGGGTAAAGGTCCTTTAAGCTCAGCTGTAGGTGTGGGTCTGAAACCTCCTAAGCTTGAGACCCTCACCCTTGTCTTTTCCCCTCCAGAATCCTAGCCCGCCGCAGCAGGAACGGGCCTTTGATATAACCGAGTCGCACCTCCTCTTCCCGAATGGGGAAACTGAGGGTTAGAGAGGGGGAAGTGTGTGCCGTGGCACATGGCCGCCTCCTGTGGATGCCCCCGCCCTGGCTCCCTCGGGCCCTGGGCTGCGGCGCCCAGGCTTCCCTGACCGTTGTGCCACCTGGCTTCCTCAGCTCTTCATAGGGTTCGGCTTCCCCTACGAGGGCCCTGCCCCGCTGGAGGCCATCGCCAACGGCTGCGTCTTCCTACAGGCCCGCTTTAGCCCGCCCCACAGCTCCCTCAACCACGAGTTTTTCCGAGGCAAGCCCACCTCCAGAGAGGTGAGTGGGGAGGGTCTGACGCGGCCCCCCCCCCCCGCATCACCCGGAAGAGGGAGACAGGCCTGGGGTGAAAGGACACGTGGGACAAGCTGGGGGGGGGGGCGTCCCCTTAGCCCAGCCCGGCCAGGCAGGCACAGGGGGAGATCGCTGCTCTCTCTGCCCCACCAGCTGTTCTCCCAGCACCCCTACGCAGAGAACTTCATTGGCAAACCCCACGTGTGGACCGTCGACTACAACAACTCGGAGGAGTTTGAAGCGGCCATCAAGGCCATCATGAGAACCCAGGTGAGGCTCAGATCCAGTCAGGGCTGCCATCAGCCACCACTGCGGGTCTTAGCCGTAATTAGAAAAAGGTGCCCCTCTTGGTGAATTCAGACTCGTAAGCTTGGGCTGGGAAATTTGATGAGGGGTGGGGTGGTCCCCACTTACCAAGTCGAGTTGGCGGGGGAGGAAAAAAAAAAAAAAAAAAAAAAAAATGCCTTCGTGCTGTGAGCAACCTGCACAACCGTACATGGCAGCCCTGGATCCGGAATCATTTATTAAGCACCTTCGGAGACTGAGCCCTGTGAGCACTGCCTGCACGTGTCAGGCGCTGAGTGAATGTTTCTCAGGAGTAGCGCTTGGAGGGTCTTTGAACTCTGCTGTTGGTGTGGCTCTGTGGCCTTTTGTCCGCATGCCTCAAACTATAAACGTGCCGGCAGGTCATCTGGGGGTCTTGTTAAAATGCGGGTTGGGATTCAGCAGGTCTGGGGTGGTGCCGGGCCCAGGGCCACCCTTCGCGTAGCAAGGGGGAGAACTTTCCGGGTTTCCTTCGGCAGGTGTGTGGGCATTGCCATGTGTGGGGGCACGTGTGTGGGAGTGGTGACTGCTGACGGCCCCTTGTGCTCTTCTGGTTCCCTCATTTTGGAAAGGGGTCCGACTCTGCTCACCATGATCCCTCTGGACCTGTCTCCCTCCTTGCCCAGCACCATGTTAATTGAGCGTGCCCTCCCCCGGGAGGGGAGGGGACGCACTGCTCAGGGTCAACTTCTGGGTCTGGGGCAAACCCGGAAACCTGGCGAGCCTTCATCTTGGTGAGGCCACCACAAATGAGTGACAGGAAACACCGGTTCCTTCTGCAAGGACAGCCATGTCCCAGGAGGACACTGCTGCCCCAGGGGAGCTGGGGACACTGCCAGACTCAAGGGCAGAGACCGGCAGGGAGAGACCCTCCACCCCAGCCCCGGGGGACTTACCGGCTTAGCTTTGGACCCAGAGCCCCGCCTGGTTGTTCTGACCGTGAGGCAGGCTTGTGTTTTCTTTAAGTTTATTTTTTGAGAGAGAGAGAGAGAGAGAGAGAGGAAAGGGGAGGGGCAGAGAGAGAGAGGGAGAGAGAGAATCCCAAGC